GTGGTCTTGTGTTTGATACCATAAAGTCTCCTATTTTCAAATAATGTAGCCCCACTATCTGGGTCTGCGTGTCCATAGAATAAATGCACTACACCTGTGTTTCCATTTCCAAAATTACTAAGCTTCTATATTTGCATGTCTTAATATAGATCTTTGTTTTCCCATTATACATGTGTATAAGTACATACTTGCCGATACTGAATTATTTGGCATCTTTTATTTTGAGTGTTGTACATTAAACTTCTAAGTACTTTTACAATCATCTGAAATTCTATTGCTAAATTGCAGAGGCTTTTTATATTGATGTTTTTTTTACTTCTGTTTTTTTTTTACTTCTGTTTTTCAAAATAAAATATTTTGAATAACAGTGTTTCATTATTTTATTTTATATTACAACACAACAGATTAGAGTTGTTCATCATATTTGACTGAATAGATGAATGAAACAATAACATTAATGAGGTATTTACATATATATAAATGCCTATCTTTCTTCATCCCACATTTTCCTAAAATAAATAAATAAATAATAAATAAATCTCTGTGTCTTTCTCTCTCATTTGGAAAAAATATATATATTATATATATACGTATTTCTTTTCATAGTCTACTTTGATCTGCACTTTTCCCTCTAACTCTCAAACTGCCACATCACCACATCATGTTGTGTTTATATCAACATAACTACTGTACCCAACAAAAAAGATTTTTTCCTCCTTTAAGCAGTTTTAATCATACTAACGATATCCTTTAAGATATCAGTGAAGCATTCTTAAAAACAAAATAAAACAAAACAAAATACTTATTTTTAATTGGAAATGCTTTTCTAAATAACATATTAAAATAGGAATAATAAATTCATTGATATATTGAATCTACTAGAGATTTTGAATCATAAAGACATTAAATAGTCTTGCTTCTCCTTTCAGAATTCAGCTTTAATTCTTACAAGTTTAAAGGAGAAATATTAACTGCATATTTGAAAAAATATCTTTTGCCTTTCAATCATTTATCTTTTATGACTAGAAACTCACTTTGTGGAGTAGTACCATCAGATCTACAAACCAAAACAGTATATTTACCTTGAAAGCATCAGTTATTTTCCATTCAGACACCAAACGCTCAAAGCTACTGTAATTATACATGGATGTGATTTAATTATATTTTTAGATGTATTTTATCCTACTGTTATAAAGTTCAGACTGCCTTTAATATATACATGTATTATATATCATACATGTGTATTTCGTACGTGCAGTAATATATATATATGACTGCACGTACGTATATAGTAATTTACATATCACTTATGCTGTCCTTAGAGAACAATTGGTTGATGAGGAACTGACCAGGTTTCAGATATGTTTAAGTGTTTTTCCAGGTCCCAGATTTTAGCACGGCCACTGCAGTGTAAAACTTTGGAATTCCTGAATGTTTAAATTTAGGTTGAGGGCAACCCCTAGCAGATAGATCTAAGACTCTTGGTTGGATGAAATTTCCAATGGATGTAGAACCTCTGTGCCTGCAAGTCCAGGCACAGCTAATTATAACAAGCTGTGAGATTTGGAAATTCTGTACCACCCTCCCCCAGTGACTCTGCGGCCAGTCCTGGGCTTGTGGGCTTATCCTAATACTTTGCTGCTAGGATATCTGTCCCTGCAATAAATAAATCAGAATTCCTGAGTCTTTCAGTGCTTTCATAGAATCATAGAATCATTGAGGTCGGAAGAGACCTTCAAGATCAACTGGTCCAACCATCACCCTACTACCAGTATCACCCACTAAGCCATGTCCCTAAGTACCAAGTCCAACATTTCCTTGATGGTTCACAGGGATGGTGATGCCACCACTTTCCTGGGCAAGCCATTCCAATGTCTGACTACTCTTTCTGAGAAGGAATATCTCCTCATTTCCAGCCGAAACTTCCCCTGGTGTTACTTGAGGCAATTCCCTCTAGTCCTATCATTAGTGAGAAGAGGCATTCTTACCTCCATAATGGAGAAGCTAGTAGTACTGTTTGTCTTGGTCTTGTGGGGCTGGATTATTAGCTGTGATTTATTTTATTTTTTTTTATTTTATTTTTTATTTTATTTTATTTTATTTATTTTTAAGATTATTGGATTATTAGACATCTGCTGGGTAAGCAACTCAGCCAGGCACGAGCAGTCCAAATGGCTCCTACAATGCGTTGAGGACAATTTTCGGACGCAGGTGGTGGAGGAGCCGGCGAGGCGGGGGTTGCTCCTGGGCCTTGTTCTTACCAACAGGGATGACTTTGTTAGGGATGTGAAGGTTGGGGGCATCTTGGCATGCAGCGACCATGAGATGGTGGAGTTCCAGATGGAACTAGGCAAAGGAAGTATGGCTAACAGCAGGATTGTTACCCTGGACTTTTGGAGAGACAACTTCAACCTCTTCCAGGACCTGCTTGTAGTATGTCATGGGATAGGTTGCTAGATCTTTGCTTGTAGTAGCAAGGGTGCTTATGAGAGCTGGGCTACAGTTAAGCAGCACTTCTTCCATTCTCAGGATTGGTGCATCCCGAAGAATAGGAAATCGGGGAAGGGGGGCAGGAAAACTGCGTAGATGAGCAAGGAACTCATCAATAAGATCAAAAGGAAAAGGAAGGTCTATGAAATGTGGAAAAAGGGCTTCTCCTCTTGGGAGGAGTATAGATGTGTTGTCAGGGCCTGCAGGGACGCAACGAGGAAGCCTAAAGCCCACCTTGAGATGAGGCTTGCAAAAGAGATAAAGGATAATAAGAAGGGTTTTTGCAAGTATGTAAACAGCAAGAGGAAGAGTAGGGTTAATGTGGGTCCCTTGCTGAATGAGGGGGGTGTCTTGGTCACGGGAGACACTGAGAAGGCAGAAATACTGAATGCTTTCTTTGCTTCAGTCTTTGCTTCAAGGACAATCCTCCGGGACTCCTCGCCACTGGCAATAGGACAAAGGGTCTGGGAAATGGAGGGCTCCCCCCTGGTGGATGTGGGAGTTGTTCAGGAGCATCTGAGTGGGCTCAATGCACACAAATCCATGAGTCCCGATGGGATGCATCTGCATGTGCTAAGGGAGATGGCAGATGTAATTGCCAAACCGCTTTCTTTCATCTTTGAAAGGTCCTGGAGAACAGGTGAGGTGCCTGAAGACTGGAGGATAGCCAATGTCATTCTGGTCTTCAAGATGGGCAGGAAGGAGGATCTGGGAAACTACAGGTCAGTCAGTCTCACCTCTGTCCCTGGAAAGGTGTTGGAGCAGCTTGTTCTGGATGCCATCTCCAAAAAGTTGGAAGAGAAGAAGATTATGAGGAGTAGTGCGCATGGATTTACGAAGGAGAAGTCATGCTTGACCAACCTCATTGCCTTCTATGATGGCATCACCAGCTGGGTAGATGGGGGAGAGCGGTGGATGTCATCTACCTTGACTTTAGCAAGGCTTTTGATACTGTCTCCCATGACATCCTACTAGCAAAGCTGAGAAAGTGTGGGATAGATGAGTGGATGGCAAGGTGGGTTGAGAATTGTCTGACTAGCCAAGCTCAGAGGGTGGTGATTGGAGGAGCAGAGTCCGGCTGGAGACCTGTGACTAGTGGTGTTCCCCAGGGGTCAGTGCTGGGTCCGGTCTTGTTCAACATCTTCATCGACGACCTTGATGAGGGAATAGTGTCTTCCCTCAGCAAGTACGCTGATGACACAAAATTGGGAGGAGTGGCTGACACACCAGAAGGCTGTGCTGCCATTGAGTGAGACCTGGACCGGCTGGAGAGATGGGCAGGAAGAAACCAAATGAGATTTAATAAGAGCAAGTGTAGAGTCCTGCACCTGGGAAGGAACAACTGGACATATCAGTATAGGCTGGGGGACAAGCTGCTGGAGAGGAGCTCTGACGAAAAGCACCTGGGGATCCTGGTGGACGACAGGTTGACCATTAGCCAGCACTGTGCCCTCCTGGCCAAGCGGGCTAATGGGATCCTGGTGTGCATTAAAAAGAGCATGTCCAGCAGGTCAAGGGAGGTGATCCTCCCCCTCTACTCTGCCCTGGTCAGGCCTCACCTGGAGTACTGTGTCCAGTTCTTGGCTCCCCAGTACAAGAAAGACAGGGATCTCCTGGAAAGAGTCCAGTGGAGGGCCACAAAGATGATACGGGGCCTGGAGCATCTTCCCTATGAAGAAAGGCTGAGAGACCTGGGTCTGTTCAGCCTGGAGAAGAGAAGACTTAGAGGGGATCACCTCAATTTATATCAATATCTGAGGGGTGGGGGACAGAAGGATGTAGCCAACCTCTTCTCAGTGGTTTGTGGGGATAGGACAAGGGGCAATGGCTGCAAGTTAGAGCACAGGAAGTTCCACACTGACATGCAAAAGTACTTCACGGTGAGGGTGACCAAGCATTGGAACAGGCTGCCTAGGGAGGTTGTGGAGTCTCCTTCTCTGGAGATATTCAAGGCCTGTCTGGACGCCTACCTGGGCAGCCTGCTCTGAGGAACCTGCTTTGGCAGGGGGGTTGGATCCGATGATCTTTCGAGGTCCCTTCCAACCCCTACAGTTCTGTGATTCTGTAAGTCTGTGATTCTGTGATTGTTCCTCTGCATGATTCTGAGTTACCAAAAGATCATAAAAATGATCTAGCTGAAGAAAAATGTTTTAATAAACTAACTGGCATATTCCATTTATTTTTTTTCACTGGAAACTTGTTAACCATCTTTACTCTGAATTTCTCAACTAATACAATCCAATTGAAATTAATTTGTATTTTTGAGAAACCACTATTATGCTTCTTGTCAATATGAACTTCTCTGGTTAGGCAGAAAAATAGAGGTATAGAGGAAAGAACTGCAAGTTAGAAAGGAAAGTTGCCCTTGCACCAACCAAATATCTGATTTAATAAGGTTAAATTCTTCTACTTTAATGGGAAAAATATGCAAATATTACTTACTTACTGTTGAAACTAATTGAAATTATTAATTCAGTCCTTTTTCACCTGGTAACTAAGCTTTTTCTTACCTCCCTTCTCCATCCAGACTCCCTTCTTGCCAGGGATACTGTAATATAAAAGAAGACAAAATGTTCTTGTTAAACTAGAGTTTGACAGTTCCTATTTACCTGTGTTTGGTGACAGATTCAGGTTTCTCAGACTGTTTAATCATAAAAAGTCAGAACATATCATAAGGAACAAATTTTACTGGATAATGTTAACTAAATCTAAATTTTGCCTGTAGCAACTAACCAAACAAATGTATTCCAGAGTTTGAGTACTTATTAGAAGACTGATTGCTGGTTCAATGTATCTGATCAAAGACTAATGCCGTATATCCAAGATGCAAACCCTTTGAAAATTCTCACGATGTGTTAAGTAAGTAAATATTTTGGCCCTGTCTCTAATCTCTAAGGTTTTCAAATTTTGCTGATTTTACTTTGCCCATCCCCACTCTACCCCTTTCATTTCCAACTCCCTCCCTCCTTGGTACTGAAACAGAATCTAAGGCAGGGACTATAAGAGGACCATATAAATTGATCCAGTCTGATTTAAGTAATGCAAAGAAACTGAATATTCATTTTTCTATCAGCAACTAAGAATAAATTGTTTTCTTCTAACCCATCATCTAGTCACTGGAATGACTGGAAACTAACATGGTATTTTAGCTGGTGACATACTTTTGGTTTATATAATAACACAAAAATAATTATTAGTTTTCACCACCTTCTTTTAAGCATCTTGTTTCAGGTAAATATTTTGTTGTGTTGTTGTTTTATGACCTGCACTACAGATTTTTTTTATTCATCTAAAAGTGTAAATGCCTCAGTTTTTCTCATTTGTGTTGCAATTCATTTAGAACCCAGACATACAACAACAGGTCATATTGTTCCTTCCAATGTGCACCACCTTGCCTTCAATGAAAATGAGTTCATACAGGATTATGCTGCCTGTTCACCAAAGTCCTTCAAAGTCCTTCACAGTCCTTCAAAGTCCTCGATTAACCCAAATATGCTTGGCTGCTGCTGATACTAATAAAACCAGCTACACCTTCTCCAAGTTACTAGGAAGTGTATTCAACATTGCAGTTGTTCTACATTATAAATTTGCATTTACTACATTTATTTAGTTGAAAATAATCATATATATTCACTTAGTTTGCCCTTATGCTAGAGAATAGACATCTGCATTGATATCAGAATTTCATCTTTTATTTTCTTTCTGGCTTCATACAGATAATAAATATATTTTAGCATTGGCAGAAATAAGCTAAGACATGAACAGGAGAAATCAGTGATGCTAGATGACAAGAATATTACCTGATAGTTAGTGTTTTGTTTTGTTTTTTTGTAGAATTAGAAAAATGTAAAGATGATCACAAGACCATAAAAGCACCATGATAAGAAGAAAAGAAAAAAAAAATCTTTAAAAGTGACATTCCCAGAGGAACAAAATGAAAAAAAATATCTGAATAAATAGGTATAATACAAAGGATAATTGTATTTTAACATCAGAAGTAATAAGTGATTCCTGAGAATTAGCAAGTTAGTTGGTTAAAGACCAGTTGTCATAATTGTCATTGTGAACATTTCTAGACTAGCTATTATCATATCTAATGTTTTTTGCATCAAAAAGTGAAATAAAGTAGTAGTAGTAGTAGTAGTAGTAGTAGTAGTAGTAGTAGTAATAAATATTTTATCAGTAATTAAAATGATTCATCTTATTTCCCAGCAAGTAAATATCAGTACTGAAAGATAATGGACAAACAACATTTTGACAACTAATATGAAGAGAGGTGCAAAAATTCTTGGACTATTATTTGGTTTACAGTTAGATGTGGAACAATGTTTTTTAGGAATGGACAAAGTAGGGTATTTGGAACAAAATTTATGGACACCCCCCCACACACTCTAAATTATCCTTAATTTTTCTGTCATTTCTATTGTCTATCATTCATTGCAAAATCAATTTGATTATTCTATGCAGTCTTCAGAAATTTCAGCTCAGGTATTGCTGTTCTATAGAAGACTTCTGTCATAATGGAAAAAAATGTATTTCTTAATGATACAGTGGTCATGCAGAATTTTAACAAGAAAAGGCTTTGAAGAAATATTAATCAAAGAGAAAATGATAGTATTAAAAATGTACTTGTCTCATGGTATCTCAGTAAACATATCTGTTATTTATGCAGTAAAGATTTTAGTTCTGATGTCATATGATCCTTAATCGAACAGGAATACTTAGTATGTATACATACTCAACATTTAAAATAACATATATGTAAAAAAGACCTGAATAGATATAAATTCAGACTTTCCCATGTGTAACAGTAGGGTTAACTAGATTTTAAAATAAACCAAGAAGGTTTTAGGTTTTAAGTAATCTTCCATCTTATTTTTGGATTTTGGCATATCTCTCCTGTTCTAATTCTCTTTCTACTATCCTTTTTTTTTTTTTTTTTTTTTTTTTTCCTTCTGACAAAGAGTAGGTAATATTCAACAGCATTTTGACCAATAACTTGTGGTAGTATCCATTGCATGGTACTAAGAATAATTAGGCTTTTGAAATGTGAATGGTGAGCTGCCCAATCAAAATGGGATCAAAATGAACATGAATATACACAGAAAAACACACAGAAACACACAGAAAAAGGGATGTACTCTTCAACAGTAAAAAAAAACAACAAAAAAAATGTACAAAGAAATGCTCTTCTTGAGGACTTTGTTTTTCTTCTTTGGGATTCATTTGACTTTGGATAATATGAATTACGTTCTGAGAAATGTCTAGAACATCAGGATTATAAGTGGGTGTGACATTGATTTGATCAGATGCAGACGACTAAACTGTAGCTGACCACATTAGAACAGGTGTAGCCTACATTTTTATTCATTTGTTTCATTAACTCACTACTTCTTACTTCAGTTGCTGTCTTCTGGCCTTGTCTTACAAATTTATGTGTGGACTTCTCTTTTCCAAATAATTTCTGCTCAAGCATTATCCTTCCACATGTACCTGATTCAAAATCCATTAAAGTCATACACAGGATACAGAAAAATTTCAGCTAGCTTTGGGGTTAGATTGTTATGAGTATGCTTTCTTAAAAATGTCATCACAGTAGTGCAACCAAAATTGGTCATAGGATCAGCTCTGGCCAGCAGCAGATCTCTTTTTGAGCAGGTTGGAACTGGTTCTTATCTAACATGGGACAGCTGCTGGTCTTTTCTCACAGACCACCCTAGCAGCTCCCCTGCTACCAAAATAAATGTCATTGAAACCCCATAAAGGAAGGCAACAAAAAAGTACAAATCCAAAGAAGATAAATAAGTAGAAAGAAAGAATCAGAAGTGAAATTGTTGAATTCAAATTTGGATAGCAATGAGCTGAGACTTGCTGATAATTACACCTAGGATGGTAATCATGCTAAATGAATAGCTTCATAAAATGTATATTAGATAATTGTTGTATCCTCATAAGGTGTGATCCTGCTTTCATGTCAGTAAAAGATCAGTAACAGATGCTCAAATAAAACGGACCTACTTCAGTATAAAATTATAGGAGTCTAAAAACATGAAGAAAAGTGTGAGGACAGATATCATCTTACACTAACATATTTTCTTTTTTAAACTTTTATTTTGTGTCAGTTGTTCCTAATTCTCACAACCTGAACTCAGAGGAAAGAAGAGGCCTTTCATTTTTTATTTCTTCATATTTCTTGAATATTTAATGTGTTAGTCGTTACTGTAGGGTCAAGTTCATTTTAATATTTTCAAGCAAATCAAGACAAAACATAGATCCTCAAGCTGGGGAAAGCCTTAAAGTTCAGAGTGCTGCAGAATGGGTTGCAATATTGTCGTGGTTTAACCCGGCCGGCAGCTAAACACCACGCAGCCGTTCGCTCACCCTCCCCCCTCCCTCTCTGGGACGGGGGAGAGAAATGGAAAGTGAAGCCCGTGAGTTGAGATAAAGACAGTTTAATAAGACAGGAAAATAATAATAACAAAATAATAATAACAATAATAACAATAATAATAATATGGTGATAATAGGGAAATAATAATAATATGTACAAACAAGTGATGCACAATGCAATTGCTCACCACTCGCTGACCGATGCCCAGCCTAACCCCGAGCAGTCCGGCCCCGTCCCCCCGGCTAGCCACCCCTATATATTGTTTAGCATGACGTCAGATGGTATGGAATACCCCTTTGGCTAGTTTGGGTCACCTGTCCCGGGTCTGTCCCCTCCCAGCTCTTACTGCACCCCCAGCCTGCCCGTTGGCAGGGCAGAGCAAAAGGCTGAGATGTCCTTGGCTTAGTATAAGCACTGCTCTGCAACAATTAAAGCATCGGGGTGTTATCAGCACTCTTCTCATCCTAAGCCAAAACACAGCATTCCACCAGCTACTAGGAAGAAAATTAATTCTGTTCTAACTGAAACCAGGACATCTATCAGCAGAAATATTACCTGTTTACCAGCTGCTACTTTTGTTCTTTTATATAAAAATCTTCAATGTGTACTAAACCTAAAATAAAATAAAAAACAACAACAACTACTACAACAACAAAACCTACAACAACAACGACAAAAACATTAGGTTAAATAGACTTAATTCCCAACACATTAGGTTCTCTTTTTGACAGTTCTTTAGTTTTAATAGGCAAGCTGTAACTTCACTGAATCTTCAGTGTCATCATCTGCAGTAATTTAGAGTAGTGAAGATGAAAAGTAGTGTAGATTCTGAAATTACAGAAAATTTTCAGATTGCACACTATATTATAATTGAAAAATTCAATAACACACTGTGTTCTTTTTACATACTGCAGATTTTTTTAATATTCAATATGTTAAATAAAGTCTACATAAAATGACGGAACAATATTAAATGTCACACTTTAGTATTTCCTATTTTAGTTAGACAAAAAGTTGGAGTTTATCCAAATGTTTGCGCAGTTATAAATGTGTATTTTTTAGTATTCTTATTCTGAGGAATTAGTTATTTATGATTTTTTTTTTCCCAGTTTTGAACAGATTTATTATCAATAAATATGGAAGCCTGTATTCAACAGTAAGCTATTAACATCAATGGAAATGATTTCTTTATTCTTTCCATTTACCATCATATTCTGAAGGCAGTAGCAGAGAGATTTTGGTAGTCCAGAAGGAATAGTGTAATCTCACAAATAGGAAAGTATATTCTGATAGCAATATAATATTTCAAAATGTGTATTCTGTTCCTTTCAATTTGACTACATTTGAATTAATTTGTAGACTAAGTCCCCAGTGAGCACCTTAGCCTTCAAACTTTCCATGAAAATATATTTTTCTAGTGATATTTTTATCTTCAATAATGCATTTGGTTCAGCTAGTAAAAAAAAAAAAAAAAAAAAGATGCTATAGATATCAATGCAAATGAGAATCTTTATTATTATTATTATTATTATTATTATTATTATTATTATTATTATTATTATTATTATTAATATAATAATATTATTAATATTATTATTATTATCAGCATCATTATTATTTTATTATCCTATGAACAGAAGAGCTGATTCTCTTTCCTTATATGCAATTCAGATTCTCTAGTGTGTCTGATATGGCATTTGACACCATACCTAAAAGTGAATATTTAGGTGACTGAATTGCTCTCCTGAATATTCACTGATTCACATCACCTACACTGTAAATATCTAAACATATGCTGATATGCATGTACTGAGAAAAACAAACAAACAACTGTGGTGGTTACAGAGTACGGCACTGTATGGGCTGCTGCCGGGAAAGTTAATATTCCAGCCAGACCCAGTACAACAACAACAACAAAAAATAGTTTAATTCAGGGGAAAAATTAATTCAACTAACTGAGACACTATTCTTAAAAATATTTTCTTATAGGTTAACTGAACAGTACATTTTTTCCTGACTGCTTATGAAAAACAGGTATAGTGTATAGAATATTTTAAAAGTATATATATATATATATATATATATATATAATAAATTCTGTCCCCCTTTTCCACAATGGTTGTTGGGATCCACACTTTTTCCACGCTGTTATTGGGATCTCTGCATAGGGTGCCATGAGAGCCAGGTTCCAGGAGGAGTGCTCTGGGTACACTCTGCCCTCAGAGAAAGCATGGAGTTAGGGGCTCCCTTTGATTCTTATCGCTTAGTTATCTTCCTCAGAGTATCAAAATGCACTGCTACTACTTCTGTACTTACATGCTTTAATTTCCTCTGGAAAGGTAGTCAGTGACTAGAAATAGTGTCAGCTGTAGCCTTCATCTTTCATGGAATCAGGACATGGTCTGGAGTTAAGGAATTAAGAACACTGATTTTATCAAAGATCAATCCTGTCAGTATAGAGTCAGAGAAGTATTGCTTTGGACATATTCTATACTCAAAGATAGATATAGAATGAGAAACTCTTTGATGTGAGCCTGTACTGCGTCTGGCTGGGATAGAGGGATAACTTTCCCTGCAGCAGCCCATACAGTGCTGTGCTCTGCACTTGTAGAGCACATGATACCAACTGCATTGGTATCATACCAGTGTTTTGCCTTTTGCTGAGCAATACTGGCACAGCATCAAGTCTTCCACCACCACCACCACTACCCCAAGAGCCTGCAGGCTGGGGGTAGGCAAGAGGTGTGGAGGGGACATCACCAGGGCAGCTGACTTCAACCAACCAAAGAGATATTCTATACCATGTGGTATAGAATACACATGGTAATAAAAGGTGGGAAAGGAGGAGAAGAGGGGAGGCTCTTGTTACAAAAAGGTCTGTCTTCCCAAACAATAGCTATGTGTATTGAGACTATGCTTCCCAGGATGTGGCTGAACATTGGTCATTGATGGGAATTAGGAAGTAATTTCTTGCAATTTTTTTTCCTCTTTCTTTTCCCTTTAATTAAATTATCCTTATCTCAACCAGTGAGGGTTTTTTGTTACTTTTTTTTTTTTTTTTTTTTTTTTTTTTATCACCACAGAGCCACAGAATGAATGTTACCGCTTAGCCAGATTTGAGAAAATTTATTTATATCTCTAAAAGTTAGATTAAACATAAAACATCATCAAAGTTAAAAAAATAAATTTAAGTCTTAAATAAATCCAAAACTGCTATCAGGTTTCTATATTTCCTTATGGGTGAGCATGAGTGTGGTGGTTTTATCAGTCCGAATTATTTTGACTTCTTAAAATAAAAACGGTGTTAAAAAACACACATGTCTAATAGGTGTGTGGCAGCAGACAACAAAATCACATATGGAGATTCTTGAAAATCCTGGCATTTTCTGTTTGGCCAATGCTTGTGAAAATAGAACATCTGGTATATTCATATAACAACCTTACCATGTGAGGTTATGATAATTATGAGGTATGATTATATGAGGTATGATAATTAATATATGCTAATTAATTTATTATAAGGTGACCTATGATACCTACTTATCATAAGGTAAAGATAAATAAGACACACATACACACACAGAAAAGAAAAGAAAAGAAAAGAAAAGAAAAGAAAAGAAAAGAAAAGAAAAGAAAAGAAAAGAAAAGAAAAGAAAAGAAAAGAAAAGAAAAGAAAAGAAAAGAAAAGAAAAAAAAAGAAAAGAAAAGAAAAAAAGAAAAAAAAAAAAAAGAAAAGTTCAATCTTAAGAGAAGTTATCTTACTTTCCACCACTTTTAGGTCTTTTCCACCCTTTTAGGTCTCTTTCCTCCATTCATGGGGTCCACAATTTACTATGGTACTCCCCGATATTCTTTTAAATTTTTCTTTTGGATATAGAATATTGTCATCTTATGGGTAAACTCTTTGAAGAGGAGCAAGATGTCTATTTTATACCTTCATATCTTTAACTTCCTATGATATATCTAATTAAGCAAAGAGAGTGGAAGAGAGAATATATTTTTAAAAAGTCAAAAAAAAAAGAAAAAAGATGAAAACAAGAAAACAAAAAAAAAAGAATAAAATTGGACAAAATTGAGAGAAAATAACTGCACTTGAGAAATACAGAGAAGATAAATGCAGAATGTAAAAATTTCAATAAAAGAGATATTAATTCACCAAAACATTAATAAAAAATAATAAAAATGTGTACATATATATTTTAAATTAACATATTATCAATATAAATAGAAAGAAATCTGTACTATCACACCAATTGCGTTGTGCTGACAACTCTGTACCAGGTGCAGATAAAACCCTTTACACTACAGTGGCAAGAACTAAAACATTAAAAGGTCTGCCAAGCCCATTCTGGAGCAGGGCCGTTGAAGTTTTATATGAAATTACTTAGTTTGGCTTTGCTGACCACCACAGAATCACTGTATTGGTTTTCTTCGCACCTTTTACCTCTCCACAAATTATCCACCTATTTGCAGTTTTCTATTCTTTGGGTCTATGGGTTGACTTGTGAGTAGAAACCAGTGGTGCATGATGTTAGCTTTAAAGATTTCACATCTTGGCATTAGAAGATATCCTATGCTTGAGGTCCCTGCAATGACCCATGTCTTGTGACCCTTGGTTCTGCAACTTTAATAGACTTAAACATATTCCAGATGAACAGCAGATTGGAGCTACCCATGCAGAACTCCATGCCCTTTTCTTTAGACTGCATCTGACATGCAGCCTAGCTCATATAGATCTAGTTTATGTACTGTGCCAAAAAGTGCATTGCTTAATATGGCTAACACTCATGCTACAAGCATAAGTACTCAGGGCACCTGGAAACCTACAGATTCCATCCCTTGCTCACATAATTATTAGCAAGTCCAATGAAAATGACATAGCCTCCTTCTGGTTTCCTAACTGCAAGAAACAACTTCAGCAGTGGTATTAAGAAAAGGAAGAAACCAGTAGCCAAAGAACATGTACATAGAATCATAGAATCATTAAGACTGGAGAAGACCTTCAAGATCTGGTCCAACCATCACTTTACTCCCAATGTCACCCACTAAAACATGCCCACCAGATCCAACCTTTCCTTAAACACCCCATGGGACAGTGACTCCACCACTTCCCTGGGCAACCTGTTCCAGTATATGTCCAGCTATAATCCTGTTCCTATGATCTCACAACAGAGTTGTGCCAACTTTTGTGCAATTTAATGCAGATATGTTGACCTTAGAA